TCGTATACATAGTGTGGAGGTACGTGCACACACTGACCGTCACACGAACAGAAAAAGGCTCTTTGTTTCGTTTCTTCTCTCTTGGCCTTATAGTGGCCTTACCATTTACCTTCCACCAAACCGTAAAAAATCCATTATGTATTTACATCAGGAACGGATCTTAGGGTATGTTTTTAGGGGGTTGGGGTAGTTAGCCACTTACTTCCATCGCATGGTTAATACATTCTGAGAAAAGCTACGAAAAAAAATAATTATCTTCCGTGATAGCGTTTACAATGGTAATTATATTTTACGTTAGATGGATTCTATTTTCGTGTTGAAATTAAACGTTGACATCTCACGTTTCGAGTTCAAAAGCTCGTTACTATATTGGCGTTTAGAGTGAGATTAACTACAAAGTTTTGTTCAAAGAAATTTTTTTTTTTTTTTTTGTCATGGCCGTTTTGCTTTTCTAACTGAAGCTTAATTAACGGAATCACTAGATTATCGAGTTCCTGAGAGTTGAGGTGTTCTGTTCTAAATACGTCCGTGATAAGTATAACATACACACGTGCGGGTGCTGCATGGCTTGTATATATACCGTTCCTCGCTCTGCTTTAGCTCATCATATCTTAACAGGCGTTTTCCGTTTGGATCCACGATGACTGTGCCCCAATCAATAGTATAATTGTTAATCGAGAACATTTACCCATGATTCAGAACAAGTGATGGGTAGGTACACTTGTAAAATCAGAGTGGGGTGAAAAAAAAAAAAAAATTCCATCTTCCCGTTGCTTGAGTGACATCAAATATGTTGTCATTTCAATTAATGAGTCAAAATCACAATAATGATGTGGTACAGGGTTATTTTGTTTATAAACAACATGTACACACGATACGTGACATTTGCGAGTCTTTCGACTGTATACCATCCGATAACATTTTTTCTTGAAAAACTATTTAACTTGTCATACTCGTATACGTCATACCTACATCTCGTTTTGCCAAACGTAAAATCTGCTGACAAAAAAAAACAATCCACTGCGTATATAATATATCCAGATCCTCTCGCATACATATATATATATTTGTGTACCTAACAGAGCCACGTTGATTCCGACAAGTGCTGCAGAGAAAGAGTGCAGTCTGCAGATATCTCCCGTTACAACTGGTTGAGAACACGATAACTATATAGTTACACACACACGTATGTTATAGCGTGTTAGTGCTGTATACGCTGATGATATATGGGAGCGAGTACATATATTTTATGTATATATATGGATTCGCGGACTCGCATTTATACGTCAGATAATAGCCGGAAACGGCATTTTACGCCGCGAGTCTCGACTCCTCTCGCTTGACCCGGCTAAATTTACTCCCCCGTTTTTTTTTTCCCACTTCCTCCAGATAAATCTTCCTTCTCCTCGCAATCGATCGATCCCGGTATTTATAAATTGCGTACTTGTGCAGGAGGTGTATAATTATACATCGAGAGCGACGTATTCCACCCTCGGAGCTACACTTGGAGAGAGAGAACAAATCGAAGTGAAAATTTTACAACGAATCCTCTCACATGGTTATAATCCATATACATGTTTGCGATCGAGGTCGCCCCATATCCAAATATATCTTTTGAATATAAATGTTAATATAATAATATTATACTGCTGGTGCGGTTACTTTTACAATCGTACACATATATATATATATATATACCGTTACTTATGGTAATAATAATAATAATAATAACAACGTTAAATTACGTACAATTGTAACAAACGTCCATACCTCTTGTTTAACGTGATATACCATACAATTAATATAATTAAGTAAAAGATACTATTATAGGTACATCTTACCAATATACCCAGCGCGTGTTATGTGGCAGGGGTATAGTATATACTACCCCTTTACCCCTCCTGTCAAGCCCAAAGATCAGTGATATATATATATATATATACATGTGCATATACATTATACGTTCATACACACATCTCGGGAGCTTACACGCGCGGTACACACAGGGTGGCTTAATTCTTGCGCCCACGCGCCTGCAGACCGACGCGGGCCACCCGCCCACACGGAGCTCAACACATATACAACAGCCGAAACGTATTTTTTATATATACATACGTGCCGGGTAACTGTGTGGGTGTTGCGTATGTACGCGTGTGTACATTCAAGGTATACATGGCTGGCTTAACTGCGGGGGTGTTTGCAAAGAAAAGGTTCCATCTATACTTACGTGTACATACACTGCTGTCTGTTTTGTGCAGGCGGACCGGGCTGCGGGGGAGGTATATATAATAGCATACACATATGTAATATATACTCGTGCAGGTATCGCGGTGTCACGAGCACAAATTATATATTCGAGGGACAGCGAGTGGGCTATATATATATATATATATATATCGGTGGGTGAAGGGCGGTGGTGGTGCAGGCAGCTGCTGGGTGGGTGCACACGCGAGCAGGGGAAGTTGTGAATGAAATATTGATTCGTGTGGGAAGGCACCCCCGCGCGCTATACGTATCCTGCGATGGCCTTCCCCCCCTCCCCCCTCCCTCCTCCCTTTATCTTGTTCACCCACGCGCCCGCGCGCGATATCACTGGCTGAGCTGACAACTGTATATACACCCCCGCGGGTTTGGTTTCCTCACCCCACGATTTTTTTTTTCCTTTTTTTTTTTTTTTTTTTTTTTTNCTTTTTTTTTTTTTTTTTTTTTTTTATTTTTTGAGGCCGCGAAAACGATTTTTTCTTCCATTATCCAAAAACGCGCGTATAGTAACGCATTGGTTGACAAAATCAGGTATATCCATTGAATGTTTGAATCACAAGGGAAAATGTCTCTCACGGCTTATAGACCAGAGAATTCTTATACTCAATGTAGTGATAGCAAATTCACATGAGCAAAAAAGTAGATAAAAGTCGTTTAATTATTAACACCATCGCCGTTATTATTATATTGACAATAATCTCGAGAGTTTCCCGGTGATTTTTTTTTTTTTTTTTTCCCATGTTCCTGGGTTCCTTAACAGCTACTCCTACCTTATATATGGGTGTATACATATAGAGAATGAAGAGGCGGGCGAAATATATATATATATATATATCGGTGGGTGAAGGGCGGTGGTGGTGCAGGCAGCTGCTGGGTGGGTGCACACGCGAGCAGGGGAAGTTGTGAATGAAATATTGATTCGTGTGGGAAGGCACCCCCGCGCGCTATACGTATCCTGCGATGGCCTTCCCCCCCTCCCCCCTCCCTCCTCCCTTTATCTTGTTCACCCACGCGCCCGCGCGCGATATCACTGGCTGAGCTGACAACTGTATATACACCCCCGCGGGTTTGGTTTCCTCACCCCACGATTTTTTTTTTCCTTTTTTTTTTTTTTTTTTTTTTTTTTTTTTTTTTTTTTCTTCTTTTGTATTTGATGATTATAGTGTCTTGGTTGAGTCTATTGTCACGAAGAGTGGCAGTACGAGGGAAGGCGTCTTTCACATCGATTCTACACTTTGCATGATTTTCTTAAGAATATAGTGTCGTTTCATTTCTTTTTTTTTTTTTTTTTGCAGTCGAACCGAGAAAATAAAATATATAATAATAATATATACAAAGCCCAGCAGTTCAATACCCGTGTCGTCACTTTTTGCTTATAATATATATGCTTTTACCAAATGCATCATCGCATTCTCTGATACAAGTAAATAATTGTTCGTCCAAGTGACTTTTTTCATTCCACTTTGGGAAGAATTATCATTCTTACTTCTCGGCTACTTTGCTGCCAAGCAGCTATTCTTCTAATGACTATTAAAACTTCTCTCGTGCTCGCAAATTGCAATTCTTCTGTTCAATTGATTTGTTAAAAGGAGATTTTTTTTTTTTTTCTCAATTCAGGGACACGTACCAACACTCGATCACGTATTACATATAATATATATATATATATTAGTTTTATATTCAGTACAATGTTGTTCGCGCATACAACACACCCACTATACGAGCAAAAGGACGTATACTTATGCCTATAAGTTGAGAGTGAGAGATATACAAGCCTAAGCACAGAGATCGCTTCGTTCATTCATTCTTCGCATACTTAGTCGCGTATAGGTACATTGCGCACGTAGGTACACCTATAATATGTACAAAATAACGTGAATAGATTTACCTGCATGAAAACGTGTAACGAAGATATAATTGTATAATATCAACATTGCACTATTACGTATACAATGTTCATACATGTATAAAATATACGGCAGCCGTGCGTGCACGCAATCAGACGCAATATCGTGCATATATAATACATGAATGTGAATCGCGTTGCAGTGTATAATTATATACAGGTACGCCCACGCATGCAGGCACGCAACGCAGGAAGTATAAATATATTGTACAAGTTATACCTTATACTCTTGTGTATGTAAAGTATGTATACATACATACACATACACAGATATGCTATTATTAATTAGGTTACTATTGCTACGTGCAGATATTACATACGTCGCACGCGTCGTATCAACTTGTAATTATTTTTTCAACAGATAACATGATATAATATATATATATATATATATATATATGCAGGAGGTGTATAA